TTCTTTAATTTCAACGCCCTGTATCTCAGAAACGAAGCAACTCCGGACATATGTTCATAGAAACTTTTCTTCTTAAAATGACCTAACAAATCACCCCCTGCAGTAAGGAACCGTAGTTAGGAAACACCCTGTATTTTTCATTTTGTTCATCAACTTCTTCAAAAAAAAAATGGTGTGCGTAGAACTTCTATGGTATAGGTACACTGCTTATATGATTATGCCGGTCTTACGGTACGCGGCACCCGGGACGCGAGTTTGCCGTTTTACTCTCATCCCAGAAACGTCCAACGTGCCTATAGAATATATTATCACTTCAAAAATGTCTCATGTGAAAAAATCCATAGACCTGAAAGATTAGGAATATTTTTGAATCTAAAGGGCGGCGCTTCCATCATAGCACCAGGCGGCAAATCACCTTAAGCCGGCACTGCCTGTAGGTACAAACAGACATATTTACAAACCTGCCTACCCAAACAACAGTCTATACATTGTGAAAGACTGAATGATCTTGATGAAGACACTGTGTGACACTTTGAAACCATTTCTCCTGAATGTGGGGATATAGGTGCGTCTTTACCATTCTTCTAACTTTCTTCAGTTGATGGTTTTGATAGGTACTATTCGATATCCTGAAATCAAACTGATGTTCTTACAGCTCAGTCTGTGGAAGTTGATTGAACATAAAAGACTTGCGAAATCGGGCAACCCTTATTGACGATATCGTTTGTTTATTGAAATCAATGGAAATGATGTTGAATGGTATGTGAAGGAATATATTATTATTCTATTATTTTTATTCTCGAATTTGAAAATCATATCAGGAGAGATTATACAGATGTTGTCAGAAAAGGCAGTGGTTATTGAGGTTCTAAACGTCGACAGATGAAAAAGGTTTTCTTGATCTCATAATTTCATATAATACTCTGCTTCCATTGTGAAACAAGAATGATAAACAATGATGTGCATTGCAGATTATTCATTCGTGATCGTGATCAAAATTCTGAATCTTGAACCACCCTTTATCTGTTCCGATTAAATATCAGCAAATAATGAATCGAAAGTTGAGATGGGGACATGTGAGCCGTTTCGACACAAAAAAATCCTAAAGTTGAAAAATCTCGATTTTGAACACCCTATATCTCAGAAATCTTCTTGGATAGACCCCAAATGTGATATATCGATGGAAACAGCTCTTCATGGAGAATCTGACAATGTGATAGAATAGGGTGTTCCATTCGGAATATCAATGTTGCTACTACTTTTTAGTAGAAGCGGCAACACTGCATTGTCGAAAATATTTCAAATGAAAAGAGCGTATTCTAAAATATGAGTATGCATATTTTCATGGATTTCTCCCGACTGATTCTCGATATAGAGATAGTGTAAGCTCGTCGTGACATACCCTGTATAAGCGTGTTAGTAAAAATGAACGAAAGGGTTAGAAAACATAAAATCGTCTCCACAACGTTCAATAATCGAAATATTATTTAGGAAACATGTTTCGGACAGTCATGTGTCCATCATCAGCCTCAATCCTTAAAAACCAAAGGTCCTATAATATAATATAAGTTAATCATGAAAAAAATATGAAATAGTGAATTTAATCACGTGGGAATGAGAAGAAAAATACGAAAGAAATTTGGATAAAATTATTGGGTAATGCACCGGTTAAGGATCAGGTTAATCATTTGACTCCACCGTTTTTAGTTTTTTTCCAAAAGTGGGTTCTGCCATTAAATCTTGATCATGTAGTACGTCCTCATAAGGGCACAGGACCCCTTTACAATTAACCTTTTTTTTATCGCTTGGAGCGCACGCAAGGGAATCCCTATAATGTTCAAAGAACATCGTGCGTTCCCAGGGAGGATAGGGATAGGAGGTAGGTATTGGAATTTTTCTTGAACTTCTGGAGATTATATGTTGTTGGGAATACTTCCTCAGGCAATGAATTCCAGAGCCTAGCCGTTCTATGGATGAAGGAGTTTTGATAAAGTGCTGTTCGACATCTTTCGAGGTTGACAACGAATGGAGTTGCTGACTGGGCTTGTCTAGTTCGTCTGACTGGTATTGCTAGTGAAGGGATGATAGCAGAGATTTCCATAGCACATTTCCCGTGGAAGTATCGATAGAAAAGTGAAAGGTCGCCGACCTTTCTACGGTGTTCCAGTGATGTCAAAGAGTGAGTGAGTGTGGCGTCACCCACCAGGCGGATGGCTCTTCTCTGGATGGAATCTAAGAGCATCAGCATATGTTTTGGTGCTGAACCCCATATGTGGGAACAGTATTCTAGAACAGGTCCGTATCTGCGCTTTGTAGATCATGAGAAGCTGTTGAGGTGTAAAGTAGCTTTTCGCACGGAACAAGAATCCGAGATTTTGTGAAGCAGCTTTTGCGATGGATCTGACATGATTATCCCATGAAAGAGTGTTGCTGATGGAAATACCGAGCATAGAAATGGTGGGCTTGGTGGGGATGGTGGTACCAGACCTTACAATGTCGGGTATACTGAGTTCCGCCTTTCTGGAGAAAATACAGGCTTGAGTTTTGGTGGCGTTGAATTCAACTAGGTTGTGGGTTCCCCAGGCTGTGATTCCAGCAAGGTCTTCATTGACAGCATTGACCTGCCTGCGCCGTGAGTTCTCAGTTTCCTGGGAAGAAATGGGAATTCTGGAAGAAAACGCAGTATGGAGGGTACTATCATCTGCAATGCTGTGGATGGGGCAAATTGTTACTCCCAACAGATCATCAATATGAAGAAGGAATAACCCAACTAGCATTTTCAGTCACAGGCACCATGGTTCAAGAAACTATTACCTATATTTAGTGATAATAACGTATTTATCACTTATTTCAGAACTTCATAGTATAAATGTCAGTGATAGTTATTTAGTGAGTGAAAATTACGTAGTTTTTACACTAGATAATAACTTCAAAGTGAGAAATTCTCATGGCTTATTACGAAGTAACTGTTTCGAAACTGTCACTCCTCAAAACTACTCTTAAGGTTTCGAAACTTTGGATATATTATTACGGTAACGCTTACCACCCCAAGAAGGCTTCACAGTTGCAATTACTCTATGGTCACCAATTAGGTTTCTACGACGTTGTCGTTACTTGATCGATCACCTAATAATTCAGTCAATTCTTGGTGATATTTCAAGTAACATATTGGTAATTCCTACTCAAACAATTCCTTCATAGTTGAATCAACTTTTCGGTAATTATATTCAGTTGAAGTTACCAATACATAGGTTATCATAACTGACGAGTTCCAAAAGTAACTTTCTGATTCATTTTCGATTGGAAGCCATATTGATTGATGTGATAACCATTTGAACAGGAAATAATTTTAGTTTTTCTTGTTGATAAACATCATTTTATGAAGAATAATAGCATTCGTTCGATCACAAATTGCATAATAATGGAAATTAACATGATTTACGATGATTTTTGAAAAATAGCCGAATGAAATAAAACCATATTTTTGGTGAAATGAGCCGTATTTTGTGGGCGCATCTTGAATTTCGAGGCAAAATCATCACATTTATCGAAAAACTGAATGTTGTTCGAATTTTTCAAGTTCGAGTATCAATTATTTCGCGTGTTTGTCCTTGTATTATTTATTGAATGGTTAGGCATATTGGACTTGTTCATTTTTCGTGAATGTGAACTTCATGGATGAAATGAAGAATAATAAAGAGAGAAAATAATATTTTTATGAAGTGGAAAAGAAATAGAAAGTCAGGTAGGAAAATTTACTACATCTTTACGTAATTTCGACGTCGACTGGTCGTAAGCATTACGTAATTGTGTGAGTTCCCGCTACGTCTGCAAACCGTAATAATTACTCGTGATTTGTTCCCCATTTTGGTCGTAAATACGTAGTAACGACGTAATTATAACGTAACCGCAACTAGTAAATATTACTTAATAGTCGACCCAATAGTCGTAATTACGTAATCGCGACTATAAATGCTAGTTGGGTAATGTTGGTGCCAAAACTGATCCTTGTGGAACGCCGGAATTGATGCCAATGGTATCAGACGATACACCGTCCACCACCACATGAAGCGATCTGCCTGAAAGAAAACTCGATAAGAGATGGCATAGCTGGGGTGGTTATATGCCGTATGATGGTAGTTTGTGGAGGAGTCCTTCGTGCCAAACACGGTCACCTGACCCTTAACCGGTGCACAACACAATAATTTTATTCAAAGTTTTTTCATAATGGGTTTTTCATTCCCATATTTGGAGTGCAGCACCCAAACATACCCTGAAACTGTCCAAAAAAAGGCAATTCGTCTCGTGGGTGATGCCTCGCTCACAAACTCACCCACTTCTCTGGCATACCGTAGAAAAGTTGGCAATCTGGCTCTTTTTTATAGATATTTTCATGGACGATGCTCTTTTGAAATATCAACAATTGTTCCTCCCTTGGCAGTCCCCGCGAGATTAACCCCGCCGAGTTGAGGCTTCGCACCCCTTCTTGGTCACTTTGGAAACCTGCAGAACATATCTTTCCAACGAACAGCGAGGCGCTGGAACACATTGCCAAGGGACGTGTTCCCCGAGGCATATAACCTCCAGAAATTCAAGAAGAACACCAATTCCTACCTCATTTCCCTTAGTTCTCACGATGTTCTCTGAACATTACAGGATATCCCTTTTCGTGGGAACCAGTACATAAAAAAAACGTGAGAAAATTCTCTATTTCATAAATTTTTCATGATTAACTTGTATTATGTTATTGGACCTTTGGTTTGTGAGGATTAAGGCTGGTGATAGACACATGACTGTCCGAAACATGTTCCCTAAATAATCTCTCGATTTCGTGTTTTCTAACCCTTTCATCGCTACAATCCACTTAGAGAAAAGTATGGACTTCTACATAAGATTAAAAATGAACGAGTTGAGGAAAAGCAATAGGTTTTCCTACACAAAATATCAGCTAACAGTCTCGTGTTATTTAGTTTCTAATCATGTATTCCTAATTTTTCCAGAATCTCCCAGAAAATATGTGGAGAACGAGGTGACCATCCACTACAAAACGCCGGTCCGGCAAGAAATCAAAGAATATCTAAGCGAAGACGAGCTGGCATACCGACAAGCCGAGGCCATGAAGAAGATTTACCAAGAGGAGAGGCGGAAGAAATATCTGCAGGTTAGCAAGTCCCTTCAAGTAAGTTTTAGTATATAAGATCAAAATCAGGGAAGTGTGGTGGCTATGCCTGCCTAGCTGCTTGATCGTAACCCATGCACCGAGAGCTGAGATGCTGTAATGCTCTGGGTGGTTTTACTAAAAATAAGGTATGTATGAATTCAATATGGCGGCACACAGTTCAAATCTAAAACAAACAATAAAACCACTAACTGAGTACTGAGCGAATTGATCTTCTAGACTAATCATCAAATTTCAAATCCGATATATTCTCTCTCATTATTCTCTATACAGGGTGTATCTAAATAACACCGAAACAGTTTAAGGTGTGTGTTCCCTTGTGATATTCTAGTGAATAAAGTTCATTTAAACATGTGTCCTAACTTGCTCCGTTTTTGAGATACAGGATGTTGAAGTCGGAAGTGTTAATTGTTTTTATTTATAATCCCCCTGTATAAGCTTTTATGGTGCCAAAATTCAGTATGGTTGGAGACTAAGAAAGCCCCAAAATATCAAAATGATTCTATATTGAAGTAATTGAGTAATCTCAATGGAAGTCTACATTAAAATTCATCGAAGTCGAATCGAATTTTTATTGTTTCCTCAAAAACTAAGCTACATACATAAATTACACAGAGGATAAAAAAGTTGTTATTTCAATAGTTCAATCTAACAAAAATATTGAACCCAGAAAAACCGGTGGTGTACAATGACATTCACCATGAATATCGATATATTTCCCCACTGTGACGCCACTGGAAATATTATTTCGAATCTAATTGCACTAGAAGAAGCTCCATGAAACTATTAACAAAACCACAACGTTTTATTGAAATTGATGAAGAGACAATTGAGAAATGAATAGAAATAAGATTTTTCATGGAAATATTAATACCCTGTATGTCGAAAACGAAGCAAGTTAGGGCACATGTTTATATGACCTTTATTTCCTAAAATATCATGAGGAATCACCTCTTAAATCTTTTCGGTGTTAGTTAGATACACCCTGTATAGATTCCCCGAACGTAGTAATAAGTTCATTACATTTTTCTCCGATTGGCAGCAAATATTAATTTTGCTGACACATATCAATCAGCAAAGTATCACTTTTCCTGCCTAGGCAGCAAAGTGGGTACTTTGCTGCCTAGACAGCAAAGTGGTTACTTTGCTGATTGATAATGTGTCAGCAAAATTAATAATCCATAAATCGTTTATGATTTCATTCATATTTCATCCGAGACTTCTCCGGCTACAAATTCAACTCTATATTTTTTGCCGCCTCCCTCATTTCTGGAGGTGTAAGTACTTCCAAGTCGCTATCACTGTCCATTATATAATAATTTAAATATACCGATATTTTTTCGCACAACTGTCAGAAATATCATGAATTGTCAAACTATAAATATTATGGATATTTCCATATATCAACCAAGCATTCCAACAACTGCGATTTCTATCAAATTTTATTTTAATTGAACACTACAGGAAAAATAGAGGGATATATATCATTATGAACAATCGGAGAAAAAATTATATGTTCAACTCGGCAGCAAAGTAGATTGACTGCCTTAGCTGGATTCCTAGCCTCGCTACGTTCGGCTATGAATTCAGCCTCGGCAGTCAATCTACTACTTTGTTGCCTAGTTGAACAAATAACTATTTCCTGAAAAATGCAAGCATAACCTACTACTACATAACAAAAGTTATTATAGGAGCTTCTTGGATAAAAATGGGTATGAGATAATAATAATAATAATAATAATAATAATAATAATAGGACTTTATTAGGCGAAAAATGTTATTATATTATTTCCCCACATAGCTATTGAAGAAGTAGAAAACACCACATACCAAAATCCAAGAGATGGATTAATCCGTCTAATATCCTATTATTTTTCTCTTGGAGCCCACGAAAGTGAACACCTATAATGTTCGAAGAACATCATGCGTACCTAGGGAGGATTGGGAGAGGAGGTAGCTTTATTGAAGTTTTTTTTGAACTTTTGGAAATTATAAGTTCTTAGGAATACTTCATTTGGCAAATAATTCCAAAGCTCTGCCGGTCTATAGACAAACGAATTTTGGTAAAGTGCTGTCGTTCGACATATTTCAAGGTTGATAGCAAAAGGATGTGCTGCTGTGGGCTTGTCGAGTTCGTCTGACTGGTATTGCTAGTGATCGAAAGATACTTTGATTGGGCCTCATTTTCATTCATTGGAATACCGTAAATTCACCCAGACATATTCTTGAAGTACCAGGGAATTTGGAAAACCTATGATAAGATATCCATATTATAAGTAACGTATGAATTCATTTGGAAATCAGATGAATGTATTCTCAAAAACAAAAATTCTGAAATACTTCTACCAGTTTTTCAATAATTCGAAACTTGTTCAATACTCACTGAATACAAAAATTCGTCGATTTCCTCCCAACGTGTTTTCTTTGTTGCAAAAATACTAATCAAAATTTTGAATTATTTTATCCGTCACTCATGCCTTCACTATAACTGACTCCTCTTCTTCAACTTTCTCCACATTTTGTAACAATACTTTGTATGGGCAATTTTGTTAACTCGTCATCTAGGTCTAGAGAATATTAAGGGTGAATACTCATCTGATTTGTATGATATATGATACCTAAGTTCGCTCACCCCATTTTGTTCGTTATTTCAGGAACTCCAAGACATGAACTCAAGAAGACATACAGACAACTTCATCCCTTCCCAAAAGTCTCCCATAGCACTAAATAGATACGACAACTTCGAAGATTTAGCGCCTTCTATAAAATTACGGCCAAGGTCTCCAGGTAATAATAGTTTATTATTATAACACTAATGGGACATCGAAAAGTGATATACATTTTCTGTATTTTTTTCTATATTCAATACGACACTGCCAAAATTTGTCAACAAAACAACCGAATATGAAAGTTTGTGACAGCTCATAGCTTCTTTGATATTCAGAGGTGTGAAAAAATGGATTGAAATATCCAGATCCGTATTTAAAAATAAAGTTGATGGTGGTTTCTGGAAGACTAAACGTCGGCACTCAAATTTGTGGACACCAACTTGTTAAAAAGAAAAAATTTGCATAAAAATATGTCATTCATTTCGATTAATTTCTCCAAATAAATTAAATAAATATAGAGGGTTTCAGGAAATTTCGTTTTTTTTTTTTCGTATATCCCCGAAAGTAATTGCCCAATTTTGCCATAATTTAACCGACCCTGGATTTTTTATACGGTTGACGAGATCCCAAATGATGGGACTCAAAATAAAAATCATGAAGCTAATGAAATGTTGAATGACTCATCCGGTTTACTACTTATTCATCAATTCAAAGGAAGCGTCACTTAAAGATGTAGTTTTTTGCTAAAGAAATGCCTGATATCAGTATCAGATTTTTTTTGTATTATGAATCGATCATAGTTTGCCCCTCGGTTTGCCCTGTATTGATGCAATGAGAGAATTGATGAATCAGAATGTATATCGTATTGAATTTTTAATCGGTCAACGAGTGGGAAAATACAAGAGTGGTGCTACTATAAGTGGGACACACGGCTCTATATGACAGAAATTCTTGACTTCATCTGAACATATTATGATTATTAGTATACGTGAAGTTCTTTCCGTGACTCGTTAGTATTTGGCGTACTGAATACTTTTCATCTATGCCGCAAGAAAGAAGTGCACGACGTACTCGATATTTCTCATTTAATGTTCAATTTTCAAGATGAACTTTCTTTTCAATAAATAGTTGAGAAAACTAATATTTCAATTTTATTCACAATCACCTTGCATACTATATTTGTGTTTTTCAGAACCTCGACTTTGTGCTCGAGCCCTGTATAACTTCGTTGGCCAGTCGGCAAGAGAGCTAACCTTCAGAAAAGGCGATATCATCTATCTCAGGAGGCAAATCGACAAAAATTGGTATGAAGGCGAACTCAATGCCATGGTTGGACTTCTTCCATCGAATTATGTTGAGGTACTCAATTAAGTAGAATTTTTCACAGAAACTATCACTATTCAAAAAATACATAAATATATCTTCCTACTCATAAAAGAATATTTTGGAATGCCTAAATTCGCATTCAGTTGCCATACTCAATAGACCAGAAAAGTGTATGCTGACTCCTTAAAGTATCGGTGTTTTCTCAAAAAATTATCATCGATAATGATTGTAGACATTGTATTTTGAATTTTGGAATCAGGAAGTGAGCACTCTGGAGCCTGATTCACTTAGACTGCTTGAGTGTATCCATTGTGTTACCCCTGTTGTTTCGTTCCACACCTTTGACAATCTAGTCTCTAGGGGGGCGACGATTCCTTTTCATTCATGAGACTCCCCTGTGTCCCCCTCTTCGGGTTATTCCAGACCTCGGAGAAGCCCCTAGTCAGGGTCTTCACTTGCCTCCAGGTCCAGCGATCTATCCTGAGCCTGAGCCCAGAGTTCTGTTTCAGAGCCCCTTTGAATTACTTTCAATCCCACATTAACAAATAACTATGTACATATGCTTATAAGAATCCATGATGAACAACCATGAACATTTCGAGAAAAATTCACTAGTTCCATTATCTGCTTCAATTTTAGCAAATTTTAGTCAATTTTGTCGAATTTTAGCAATTTTTAGCAAATTTCAACAAACCCAACTCCTATTTTTTATTTTCTCTACTTTTCATTCTCTATCTTTTCTCTCTTCTCTTTATTCTCTTTTTTTCACTCGACATCCACTTAGAATACTTCCAAAACATGTGGCGTTGGTGGTAGAACAGAAGTGTGAAACTGTCTTTCACATTCTGAACGAGAATGTCTTCTGTTCACAAAGGTACCAACTTGTAGGATGTATGAATATATATGTTATCTTTCTTTTCGTCTTGGTGATCAATGGAAGCAATATTATTATTATTATTTATTATTATTCATCCTGACGCTAGAGCTCGCACTAGTCCACCACCAGAACCCGCTTTGCCCCAGCTTTAGTGCCCCCACAGCCTTCTAGCACAAGCACGAGGATGGGGTGGGGATGAGCCTCATGTAATGTATCCATGATTATTTCCTGAACATCTCTTCTTCATCGCAGAAGGTCAGTAATCTGATCAGGGAGATGTTACTTAGCTGCTCAGGCTTCAAATATGCATAGCCTAGGCATTTTCTCCTCTGGCGAGCCACTGCGGGACATTCGCAGAGGATGTGTGAGGATCCTACCAGTTTTAGAATACTTTTCTCACCCTTTTTCTGACCGATCATTTTCTCGAAATTTTCAAATTGAGCACTCTCTATTTGATTTCATCTTTGGACATATAGCTCAGAAAGACGAGTTCAATGATATATGATAACGTAGGTCTAAGAACAGTGAGGATACCCATCGAACTCATCCATGATCTTCTTCAATAAGTAATCAAACGTCAAAACCCTCTAAAAACGTTGTGGATTAAGTTCTCCATGGGCGTTTTTCATTATAAATCAAAAAATCTTGTATGTCCTCTTTATTTTAGATCAAAGTTTGGTCTTGAATTTGCCAAAAGTGATACTGTATTTCAAAAAATCATTTTTTCGAAATTTCATTTTACTTTTGAATAAAGATCAACAAGGGGCCAGGTAGCCGTGCGGACAGAGTGTCTATATTCTAATTCGCATTCGCTTGCCGGTTGTGGGTTCGATTCCCATCGGCCTCAGAAATTTTTCTGAATGCCCAAGAAAGTGTTTGGGATCACACGTTGAAAGGTTAGGCCCCCGTCATTCCTTGCTCGCACAAGACTTTCGAAGACTTCTGAGGGTTGCTCGAAAGGGGGCATCCGAATGACGGATGGAACAAAACAAAAACAAAAAAAAGATGTCAAATTGCATTGGGCATGGATCTGCGATTCTCCGTTTAGGACTCATTCACGCTCTTCTTCGAGAAAAAGTCAAACTTCCTAGGCCCTCTAACACAACTTTTAAAAACGTAGTTTTCATTTCAAAAATCCAAAATAATGTTTGTTATTTTCATCACACTTACACTGTTTTACCACTAACCGAACATATTTTTAACGCCTCAACTCGTGTTTCGTTAACTATGCTAGCATCTTCAGGAAAAGATGAAAACATCAAGTTCTCCAGTTCGCCCTCATGAGTGACTTCTTTATCATGGTATAAGCACAGATACGGCCAGTCTTAGAATACTGTTCTCACAAATGAAGTGGAAGAACATTTTCTGGGATGCATAGCTGATTCTTCCAGATTCCATCCAGAAAAGACCCATTCGCCTGGTTGATGATCCCACACTCAATAATCATTTGACCTCATACTTCCTCGGAAAATATTCTTCAGAAATCTCTGCTATCATTCCATCAATAGCAATACCATTCAGACGAACTGGACAGGCCCCTATCATTGTCAATTTTGAAATAAATGTCGAACATTTCACCAAAACTCGTTCGTCTATAGAACGGCAAAAATTTGGAATTCTTCAACGATGGTAGTATTCCCTAGAACCTATATCCTCCAGAACACCTATACCTTCCCATTCGTGCCCTCCAGGATATAAAAAAATATAGTTTGTATTAGTGTAGTGTACCGGTCTGGATAATTTGAAACATACCATAAATCATCGTTTTTACTGCAATAACAAGAAACAACATACGACATACAAACATACAAAAGAAATCGTCAAGATCGATTTCAAAACAGGAAAATATACACATTATGCACACTAACGCGAGGAAATGGCTGACGGACGATCGCGATATTGGAATTACAGGAGCCGGCTCTGAGTAGATCTACAACGAGTATGGACATACGTTTTAACAAGACTCCAAAACAGAAATCAAATACATACAGTACTGACGTTGATACATACTGCGAAGCCTCAATCAATTTTGATGCTGGCTTGCTAGCATTATATATTCTCAGGATATTCATAGAATATTCCAACCAGGATATTGTACTATTTCTAGAATTCACTTCGAATATATATATCAGTTTTGGAATATTCTTTGAACTGGCGAAAGGACACACTATTTTCACATTCAATGAATATCCATACAGTATATTCCTGGATATATACATCATATCCTTTAGATATTCATTGAATATTCAAAAGAAGACAATGAAACCTTCTCAGAATTCTTCGAACTGGCGAAATGACATACTTTTTCCATATTCTATGAATATCCATATAGTGTATATTCAGCGGATATTCTTAATCATATACCCAGCATATCTATTGAATGATATTTCGGCCGTTCAAAGAATATTCCATATAAATAATTTACGAATCTTCATACGTATACTTGATGAATATATTCAAATACATGTACATATTAGAAGTACCAAATCGATTCAGGTTTATATATTATGAGTATTTAGCTTTTCTCTTGTTGAAAAAACGTCAGTCTGTCAACCATCCACTCCCATTTTATCCGAAATATGAATTTGTTTTGGAGTTTTTCTTTCCTTCTACTCAGGAGGCGTTCGTGTTCGTCTCGCAGATGCCGAACGTCTCGTGGGTATTAAATGCTGGGATGTGTTTAAGTTGGATCAGGTTCGCACCAGATGGCGGTCAAGAAGCCATCTGGAGACTATCCTGCACTGATGAGAGGCCAAAGCTCGAAATCGGTCTGTAGGTAGGTAAACGTTTCTGAACGATTTGGGCACAGCTCAGCATCAAGGAAAGAATCACTTTGCAGCTGTATTCGTCTTTACCAGTCGTTGCATAGATATGTTCTATGTTCTTTATGGAATGTAGCCAGGAAAGTAGTTGTTTTTTCTCTCGTTATCTACCATTCTCGTTCATTTTTTGAACTATTATGGTAAGGACTTTAAATTTTTTCCTGTTTTTGAGTCATTGCTTTACCGATCTTGATGTTCAATCTATGATTTCCTCTGTAGATAATCCCATTTGAAGGCAGCAAGCCCACTCCCCGTAAGGCTCACGAAGGTCAGGCCCGGGCTAAGTACAATTTCGTGGCCCAAAGTCACCTCGAACTCTCACTAGGCAGAGGCGAACTCGTCACCATTACAAGAAGGGTGGACGACAACTGGTATGAGGGCAAGATTGGCGGCAGAAAAGGTAAATTTTGATATGTGGTACAAAAATTTACAATAATAAATTAGATGTCTGATGTGTTATGATAATGATTGAATAAACATAGATATAGTTTATTCGAAAACAATTGCAGAATCTTGTGCCGCACCTGCAGTCACTTCAAAGGAAACTTCACACACGCCGACGCCGCACAGTGCGGAATATTCTGCAATTGATATTGGATATACTATATATGTTTCGCTACACTTGATTAAATATATCCAATCAATCATTCTTTGTTGCGCGAGATGTTCTTTATACCTAGCTCAAGTAGGTCTACTAGTTTGGCCCATATGATTTCGATCTGGACTGACATATACGATTCTTCACTTGAGAAACTATGGGATTTAATAGTGTGTGCTGAGACTCAATTCAAAAAATGATTTCAATAACAAAAAAATGATATGATGATAAATAAATGAATATAATTAAATGGGCGTAGAATTTGATTTTTTCAGTAAACATATGAAACATCTACGCCAATGGAAAGAGAGGGGTCTGAATATGATATTTGAACTGCGTAACTTGATGTATCGAACACAATCAAACAAAAGCAATTTTGTTTCATAGTCGTAGAAAAAAATACATGTATGTAAGTAATACAAAAAGTGTATTGATTTTTATCGAAATACAAATCTCTTCGATCTTGAGGAACAAATTATGTTCCTAGGCATTATTGCCTAGAAGCAACATAGTTTTTTCGTTTCTGAAAAGAGTAGGGACTTTCGATAATCATCAACACAACGAGTTGTATTTGCTAAGATTATTTCACTCATTTCATGAATAAAACAATAATTTCATGTCATATTTTCATTTGCAGTCGGTAAGTTATCAAATTACGATACATCGATAGCAACTAGGGACAGGACGCACCAAATATTGTCACGCGTCTCGTCAGAGGCCGAACATTTTCTGTATTACTTGCTTCTGCACAGCTCGCTCGCAATATTTGATGCGTCCTGTTTCTAGACGCTAGTCGCTAGTGTCAAGTTGTAACTGTGGATAGAGTTGCCTGAAGTTCAGTGTTGAGTGCTATACTCATCGCTGACAATGAAAATATCATGTCAGTTTGCGTCATGCAAGTAGTTTTGATTTATATTATGTTGATCAAACTAGCATTGAGGAAGCGAAATACAAAATCGAAAACACAGCATATTTAGGTATAACGGGTTACACAGGAGACATGTAACAGCATGTAGAACTTTTATTTGAAGAGATAAAAATTTCAAATTCACAAGAGTTATATTATCGATGATGGCGCTTTCCTTGAACCCAATGACAATTTTTTTCAACCACCTGTTTGATTGGAAGTAGACCCAACTTTTTATTTTCAAATGGCATCCTGTATATTTTTGTAACCTATCTTATTTGCCTTGAAATTCTCTATTCAACTATGTATCACAATTTGATATTCGTTCATTGATTGCCTGTTGAATTGCATTTTATTGAAATACATGAAGTTGGCTGTGGCCCGAATACAATAACATTTCGATGCTTGATAGGTTTGGAAATCCAAACATCATTACTTAGACGATATTATCAGAATATTTTCCATACCCTAATCGGACCCAGAAGATTTAAAATGATTTGATTGAATCAATACAAAAAGCTCAATGTCATTTACAATGGTAGCATTGGTAGCATTGGCTCTAGATCTCACTTCTAGTGGTATTCAAATAACCACTGCTCAAAACTTCACTTTTAACATAAGTTCATATAATTATTACTCACGTATCGAAAATATGTAGGATGCAAGAGTGAAAATAACGTGCCTATAAGTTATACTGTATACCTACTTCTTTGTTACTTGCATCAATAAATAATTTGAAAATGACTTTTTATTGAAGGAAGACGGAAAAATCATGTATAACAGGGGGGTGAAGAATATTCTATTCTTTATTTTCCTGCACATCTTACGTATTACTTTTTATCAGCCTACTTTTCGTCCTAGACGAAGTTTTATATATAGTGTGATATTATAGTCACTCCATGAATTATTCACGGAGTTCGATTTCCGAAAACATATTTAGCACACATGACATGAGTACAGTAGTTCAGATACTCACATCGAGGTTTTCACCATTTCTCAATCATAAGGCTCAGCTCATTCAGCTCATAGATAAACTACTGCTCAGCTTGAAATCAGAATTCATTCAGTCAATTCAGTCAACCCTGGTATACAGTCTAAGAACAGTCTCTTTTGGTGAAATATATTAAGCTTTCAGTACAATTTATATGTTCCCTACCTCGCAACGATTATGCTGAAGTAGTAAATTCTAAAACTAGAGGATTGTTCATCTATATCTTGGTATAGTTGTATCAGGAATTCCATATGGAAATTACGTTTGATCCGCCAATGACCTCAAATATAACCTAAAAAACAAAAAAAAGTCAAAAATCTTGTGTTTATCCCCAGAATTGAATAAGGATGGAACTATATAACTGTTTCACAAACACTTTAGAGTGAGAGGGGACGAGGCTCTGTCCGTACCCTGTTAAGATGACAAATACGACAGTTTGCATCAAGGGACCCTAGTGGAAATGACTTTGAGCTTTTTGTATTTATTCAACATTTCATTCCACTTTGTGCATTGTGGCTATTTCGTAGTTGATTTCATTGAGTTCAAAAAAATCATCCGAAAATAGATAGAAACTTAGTTTTTTCATTTGGCTACTTTTGAAGAAATTATTTGTCTTTTATTTTTGCCATGTAGCCATAATATGATAATCCATTTGAATGAAACTGAAATTGTTGTAACAATTGATGTATCGTGCTGATACATCTGTTCATAAGTCTACATTAGTATATTTTCAGTATCATTTCGCTTATCAAATCGCGATACATAGTTGAATAGAGAACTCCAAGGCAAATGAGATAGGCTACCGAAATATACATGGTGCCATTCGAAAAGAAAAAGTTGGGTTTACTTCCGATCAAACAGGTGGTTGGAGAAAATTGTCATTGGGTTCAAGGAAAGCGCCATCATCGATAAAATAACCCTTGTGAATTTCAAATTTTCATCTCTTCAAATGAAAAAACTACAGGCTGTTACATGTCTCCTGTGTCACCCGGTATAGCAGCCAATCTACATCCGAAATACAAAAACGAAAACATCATCAACACAGATATTTCAACCAATCAAAAACGTGTATTCTGAAATTAAGGGAATAATCGTCAGAATCACTTTGCACTGTCTGGGTTGCAGGCATCTTCCCCGTCAACTACGTGGACGTGCTGATCGACCCGCAGACGCCGCCGCCGCCCAGTTCCAAACCGGCGGCCGCCCCCGCCGCCCACTCGCTCCTCCTCAACGGCTCCGCGGGCGGCAAGCAGTCCATGGGCGCGCACAGCTACACGCCCGCCCCGGCGCGGGCGGTGGACTACCGCCACGCCGAGCCGGCGCAGACGCAGTCGGGCGGCCGAAGGAATGTGCCGGTGGGGCAGGCGCTGCACATCGAGACGCAGAGCGAACCGATCCCGTGAGTATGAAGCATAGATAAACTACACTACTAGCCAGTGTTGCCGTTTTATGTATAATTATACAAATTATGTAAAATTTGGAGGTCTGTGTATAATGGGCGTGTACACCTTAGTAGAACTTTTAGCTCAAACCATGGTATTGGTATTGGTATTGGTAGGTTGGATGGTGACAGATGCGCTGCGACCCAATTAGATCTATTGTGCCCCATCTGCTTCTGCTATATCAAGGATTTCTTGTTTATAGCAGCCACTCGAGCTTCAATTCCTTCAGGAATTTGAGGATTTTGAGGGGGTCCAGCTGTGGTATTTCTTCCACAGTCAGCTGGTGTGTTCCCAGTATGTTCAATCTTTTGTGATGTACAGCGTCAAACTCCATCAGTATGTGATGGGGTGTTTCTGGTTCTTCCTCACAGAATCTGCAGGTGCTGTCCTCCTGTAAGCCTAGCTTCCTTAGGTGTTCTTGAGTCTGCAATGCCCCGTTAGAAATCCCGTTATTGCTTTGAGACTTCCTTTGCTGAGGTTTGTCAGTGTCTTAGATCTTTCTCGGTTTAGCTCAAACCATGTTTATAATGATCCTTTTATACATAAATAGTGATTGACGACATAATTCGATCGAAAAATTTATTTTCGGACATAAATAATAGTACCTTCTGAAAACGGACCCTCTTATGACGTAGAAACCTCATCTCGCCATAGTTTAAAGAAAATACTGTGATCTCGCGCTAATTCACTCTAGAACCAACACAGTAAAAAACCGCTTCGAGTGAAATCCGTAGAGTATGATTTTAGAGTTAAAATACTCTGCCAAACTCACTCTAATACTGCAATCAACTCTATTACTACACTTCTCGCAGATTATCTCCTTTGAAACTAATTCTAGATTGAATTTTCACTATTCTCGTATTGAATTCACTCCTTATTCCTGAAATATCAATAAAATATCAATTCAGATAACTCAACTCACAAACAATTGAAATTGAATTCATACCTACTAGTGTTTACTGACACTTGAATATTCCTCTCTTGTCGATTAAATTGACACTCTATCATTGTTCAATTCAATCTATATACGATGAAATATCAATCTGTACAGTTTCAGATTGTTCAATCTACTATATAGATAGTGAAATAAGTAATACAGATTATAGTGTCGATGATATAATGATCATGATATTAGCTTCAAGTAGTTTTTTTACTATACCCGCGTAGTGAGGAATTTTTTTCAACATTTAGTTATGAACGTATTTCCGTATACCTATCTCGGTTATTTTCCGTTTTTTCCGTTTCGAATTATTATTTCGAACGATTTATGAAACAGATATAGGTTAACTAATTAGTCTAGTGGGACTCGAGTCATTTTTCAAATATCAAACGATTAAACTATCATGAAGTCACACTACTTCTCATCCTTCAATTCTCGCCACTGCATGAAGGTGGCGCTGCGGAGACTTCGCCGCTGAACGTCTGTCGGGGGCCTATAAATACTGTGACATGTGAAAGAATGGTTAATCGTTAATCTAACTTGAACAACAGGAAGTAGTGACTAGTTTACTTAACTAGTGTTCTATATCAATCTAAAATGATGAATAAATTATATAACTCCTTATTAGCACCTGAACAAATACTACTGTCAATTTGAACAATGCAGGAGCAATTTGACATCCACGTAGAGTAAATAATTCAATCAATTTCCGGTGGATCCGACACTGATTATAGTGTGGAATCTACTCTCTACTATTATATTACAACTCTAAACTTTTGTGACTATGTATAATATTCGGTTATTGAATTTCACTCTAAAGTGATGATATTGACACTAGCTTGGGTCTTGAGTGGAATATTCACTCTCGAAATTGTTTCTTTCAACTCTATTTTTGTGTTAATTCAATATATTTAGAGGAATAAAAAGAGTAAGTTTCAATGTGCTTGCATTGAAAATTTACACTAATTGAATTGAAAAAATCACACTATAATATACTGAACTATAGAGTTAAAGTGTCACTCTGAAGCTTAGTGGTCCACCTGGGAACAGGTATAGTGTTAAATTTCACTCTATTTTTTTTACTGTGAATGAGCGTGACCCATGTGTGACACTGATCACTGTTGCCATATCATCCAAACAAAATATCCGAGAGATCGAAATCGATATTGAAATATTTTTTGATATCCACTACCACTACTGCAGAAAATGATATTCAAGTTGTCGATTGTAGGTTGAATCATTGGAATATAAACAATCTCTAGACAACGAAATGTCTCAATCTCAAAACCACTTGCATCATTACAATTCCACGATAATCCAATACATTTCATAAACGCAGCAACATTGCTTTGTTGAAAGTTGAATAATCGAAATAGTATTTCGTCAACGCACTATCAGACGCATTTTGCTCGGTCTCAAATCGAATATGGCTAACCGTCCTGATATAATTCCACTCATTATTCTCATAAAGTGTGCACCAGAATTGAAACTGATCATTTGCAAGTTATTTACCATCTCTCACAAGTCTGGTGTTTTTCTATATTGCTGGAAAATAGCTAGAGTACAACCAATCCGGCCCCAAACAAGGAAACAAAATACTTCCAGGCAGATGGCTCCTTGTGATGGTGGACGGTCTTATTCCATAGCCATTAATACCATGCATCAGCGTTCCACAAGGATCAATTTTGAGACTAACATTGTTCCTACTCCATATCAACTCAGTAGATAATAGTACTCTTTATGCTGCGTGCTCTTATAGAATTCCCATTTATTTCACCACGAAGGCAGTTCAACGCTTTCGAAGAAGATCTTACAGAAATCACAGCCTGATGAGAAACCAACAACCTATGTAGTTGAATTCAACGCCAAAACTTAAGCCTGGACTTTTCCTAAAAAGGCTGAACTCAGTATTCCGGAAATATCAATGTCTGGTACCATCAAAGTCCACTATATCTATACCGCAAAGTCCACTATATCAATACCTGGTGTTTCCATCAGCAATACTATTTCATGGAAAACTCATGTCAGCGAAAGCTACTTCACGAAAACTCCTTGCGAAAAGCTACTTTACACCTCAACAGCTTCTCATCATATACAAAGCATAAATACGGCTTGTTATGGAATACTATTCCCACAGGTAGGGTTCAACACTCAAACATATCTGCTGATGCTCTTAGATTCCATCCAGTGAAGAGCCATATTCGCCTGGTGGGTGATGACATACTCACTTATTCTTTGACATCATTGAAATACCGTAAAAAAATCGGCGACTTTCCACTTTTCTAGAGATATTTCCACGAGAAATGTTCATCACTAGCAATACCAGTCAGATGAAGTCGATAAGCCCAGCTAGCACATCCTTTTCGTCGTCAACCTCGAAATATATCGAATAACTCTTTACCAAAATTCGTTTCCAACACATTTGTAAATGAAATTTGGCAACACGACTTCTACTAACTGTATTAATTACACCCAACTATAATTTTATTGAGGTTATGTTCTCACTGCCATCATGTATTTATTTATTTGTTGATTGTGATCAACAATGAATAAAATAATTAGAGAAATAAAAAAAATTGTTTCAGTCATTGGCTGATTTCATTTTGTCCCACAGGTTTCGTGCCCTCTACAAGTACAATCCTCAGAACGACGACGAGCTTGAACTCCTAGAAGGTGACACAGTATACGTTCTGGAAAAGTGTGACGACGGCTGGTACGTAGGATCCAGTAACAGGACAGGGGCATTCGGTACCTTCCCAGGAAACTACGTCGAAAAAATCTAGCAGAAAACTAGCTTGCTTTGATATTTCTCGAACTCGTCAGACCGATGACCGAACCAGCTTCCGCTTAGTGAGAAATATTGGGAGGTGCACAAAGAACATTCGGTAATCACGAAAATGTATATATTTTATTTCAACCTCTGATATTTTCAATGCAACAGAGCTAACTGATATTCATTATCATGAGCGCTAAATAGAAGGAGAACCCACAGTATATCTATAGTTACAGAGTGACTAGCTACAAGGGGCTAGCCGGACCAATTGTGAGTATATTGAATAGAGTGGTGACAATAGACGTCAAAAAGGCTGCCGTTTTCGTATCATTCGTGGTCAAGTCACTGAATAAGTAATAATCTGAAGGGTATCTCACATGCAGTAATGAATTTGCGCCTACGAAGTGCCTACCTGATGGAAGGTTCAGATATTTGATATTTTCATGTCATCATGTAAATAATCTAAGGCTCACAAACAACAAATTATTGCATGAGCTAAACATCTGAACAGCCTCACATTAGGACAAGTCATTGTATTGGTATAGTTTCTTCATACTTATGAGAACGGTTATTAATTTATTGAAATCAACATTGATCTATGTTGTTACATCAGAGTGGTTGCGATTTTCTCCGCGTCCATATCATCTGGATCAATTTAATAGGTCGTTTATAGTGACGGCTTCTACAATCAATCAATGAATCAATTTGACGGAGAATACTTAAACCCGAGTGCAGAAAAAGTATTTCTTCCTAAGCCTCATCAATGAAGATATTTCGGGTTCATATACTTGTCTTTATTTGGAATGACCTAAGTGTATCCGTTCTTGTAATGATAATGTTGGTTGAGACCATGCGTTCATATCACAAACAAAATGATGAAAGAAATCTAAATATCACACTCCTAACCAAAAATATTGATGAGGAACTGGGGTGCCAAATGGTCCGGCTAGACTCTTGTTGACTAGTTCTATCGTGGCTCTATACCATGACACCTTTGTTATAAAATAGTTGCAGTTTAAAAGCTTCCACTAATTTAAGCTTGTAGATATTACCTACTTATGGTTAGATTGAAAACAAGCATTCTAGTCACTAGCCAAATGATATTTTTAGTGTAGAATTTAATATGTGGTATGTCCAAAAAAGATGTGCCAGTATGTACAACATTTTATTTGCACCAAAAATATATTATAACGTTGTAACATGACCATGATCTTCCATAACATATTGTAGATGTATATAATATATAAGACATGTTTTAATCTTACATTTTCCGATTATATATCGCATATCACGTTTGTACCTTCGATAGATTGACAATGTTTATTTTTCCATTTCTAACCCCCTTATTTGAGAGTGCCTTCTGAATACAATATCTTTGCATACTTATCTACTAATTAATCCTTGAAATGAATATTTATGATGAGACAATAATATGTTTGGCACTGAAATGTCAAACTTTGTGTTCATAAAATTGAATCAGTTGATGTATCCATTTAGGTAACATTTGTTGGTCTTTCAGATATCAATATTGTTAATATTCACATTGTTCAGAGTTTTTTTTTCACCTGTATTTTGTTTATAATTAACGTTTTGTTTTTCAATAAAGTATTTAACGTTGCACCATTTTCTTCCAGAATAATTTTCAACTGTTTTTCAATAGCAGGTCCCCAAAAAGGGTGCTGGAGGCGGGGCAAGTGAATTAGGGCCACGTCACTTTTTCGCATTTGCCAGGGCTTGAAAAAACGATTCATACAGGGTGTCCGGGGAACCATGGATCATACTCTAGCTGTTGATAATCAAGCTCATTACCTATCAGAAAACCACAGCTTGACCCCAATAAAAATCTCACGGTTTTCGATATTATAACTTTTTTTAAAAACAAAATAATTTAGATTTTTCATTTTTCAAGCAAATGAAGAGCTTTTAATGTTAATTCTTATTCTCGATAAATATTACCGCATAGTAAGTCTCACAGTCGCAAACGGCAGATTTCATTACGGTCTACATACACCTTTTCAACTTTAATTTCAGAATCGGTTATATTCCGCAAAAGGCAGAGATTAGTCATTGACTAATCTCTGGCAAAGGTAAACTCGGTTTCAGAAATGGTTAACTCAATTCCAGAATCGGTGAGTTGAATTTCAGAAAATGTCCATTCAATTTCAGAAATGGTAACTTATATTTCAGAATTGGTTAGTTTGATTTCAGAAAGAAAAGTTCAACTTGAAATAAATAATCCTGATAACACATTCACTATTGTTTTTGTCTCCCTATTACAGGCTTTTTCAGTCATATGTGACCGACGACAATAATGCCCCAAAAACGTTTATTGTATGAAATGTGAAAAAACCCATGAACTACTGAACTGAACTGAATCTAATTATTTTTGGATTGGTTTTTCACATGACATTCAATGCACATAGAAGGCATCTCTTGGCAGTCTTCTCAATGCGTCCGCACTCTCTTCACCTCATTTTTAGCCCCCTTTCTTGTACATATTGTTTCACGAGATTTTTGTAACAAATTGAACAATTTTTCTAGCTTACGGTGAGCAAATGTTCCAACCCCTGTGAGTTTATCAATAAATTAATAACTAATAGGAGTATATCATGCACTTTTACTTATATACATTGAAAAAAATTGCCGCGTCGGTCGATTTTAGCTGACATCCTGTTATGCTCTTCTGTACACCAGAACGACCTCACAATGTCTGAGCAGCAATATGCTGATCACTCAGATGCCCCCTACTCTGAAAACTTCACGTGGCCTGACGCGTTCGAACCAATGGAAATGCATCGGCTCAGCACGAGATCAAGCTGTCGGTCAAAGTGGGCATCCTACAGATACCATAGTGGTAGTTCTGGATAATGCACCTGCACATTCAAGAATATATGTATAGAGGAGATTTGCATGAAGAAAGGATTTCAAGATGTTCTTATTTGCAGATTGGCACCTTATAGCCTCCAATGTTGAACCCAATAATTGAACATATTATGGAATACCTTCAAGTCAGAAGTGAAAAGCTTCTTGCAAGAGCATCACCAAAGGGTCATAGTTGGGGTTGGGGATCCAAACAGATTACTTAGTCAAATAGAATTCAGACTGTGATGCCTTGACGAATGTTCAGGTCATCCAATGAGAATTACATAAACCTCAAAAGTGTTTGAATTATTTCAAATCATGTGCAACGTTACTATCCTTATGCAATTCGATTGGGAGACATGAAAATTTAAATATTCAGAAGATGATTTGTTCTCTTTACATGCAACTAAAAGTGTCTCAAACAAATACAAGGATTCATTATCTGAAATCGAACTAGCCAATTCTGAAATCAAGTTTACCTTTTCCGAAATACAACCTACTGATTCCGAAATTGAAGTTGAGAATGTATACAAAAAAAATATCCTCCGATCCGGATCCTTCATGATTTTTTATCATGAAACTTCGTTCGAGATTTTTTTTGTAGACCGTAAATGCTATCGAGAATCGGCCTCCTTGTTACAATTTTATTTATTTTTATTTATTTATTTATTGAAAATGTTACTTCCAGTCAGAATCAAGTTCTGGTATAAGGAAGTATAGTAAACAATAATACCTAAAACTATACAATTATAATAAACTGATGAATAATAAAATATTTGAAAACATTAATTATCAAATTTTGACGAATCATTTCATATTGGTGAGCAAAAATCAATTTGAATATGAATCAAAAGTTGAAAAAAAAAAAAAGTCATCTATTTCGTTCAGAAATGATAAATTTTTTAAGATGGTATTTGAATTCTATTGTATTTCTGCAATTTTTTATATTATCTGGTAATTTGTTATATTCCAAGAGAGCAGCGTGGGTGAATCTTTTTTGGCCTATAGAAGTATTAGCGATATCAAGATGAAATAAACCATGTTGTCTAGTTTGATAATTATGAATTTCATTGTTTCGTGTTGAAATAAAATTAGATTTCAATCTTTTATTTATGATATTGTATGTAATTTTCAGTCTTTCGATTTTGAACATTTCTTCTAATGAGAATGATTCAGTTATTTTATATAATTGATTTGTTGGTGTATCATATGGTAAACGATACAGTACTTTCAATGTCTTTTTATATAATGCAGATATTTTATTAAAATTGTTTTTTGAACAGTATCCCCAAACATTTATCAAATAGTTAATACGACTGAGTATATGAGAATATAGAATTACATTTGCAACTTTTTTATTCATCTTGATTAAAGGAGTATTTTTAATAAATGCAAATACTAATTGGCAATACTTCGAAAATACAACCAGGTGAATGGTTCCTTTCTATATAGAGGGCATCAGCGTATATTTGGGTGAAGATTCTCATATGTAAGAACGGACGAGCTACACGGAAAAAGGGATTTGTTGCATCAACAAATTATTAATTATGCTTGAATTATTTTTGTTGGACTGAGCAATTTTTTGTTGAAATCAAGAATGTAGTCTGATTGAATCAACAGTATAATATCATTATCATCAACAAAATATATGGTTTTGTCAAAAACAAATTAGGGCGATCCAAAATAATGTCGATGTTGATTCAACTATGAACATTTTGTTGATTTGATGAGAATATATCTTTGAAACAACATACATGTTTTCTTATTCCGATGTAGCAATGAACTCGTTTCGAATGGATCATGCTTGAATAGAGCAACGAAATATGTAATATCAATAAAATATTTTGTTCTTTCTGAATCAAGTTGAATTTTTGCCTCTAGATGGCGGTCATTTCGCCTGTTCGAAATATCAGCTAGATAAATCGAACTTGGAGGATGATTATAGCAATCCGAAATAGTTTTGCATCAGCTGAAGAGAAGTAAAGACTGGAGATATGCTAGAAGTCGACTAGTTTCCTAGTTTAGTTTATTCTATTGATGTGAAATTTGGTTCAACAAAAAAATTTGTCAAACGGAAATACAGTTTCTCTTGAATCAACAAAATATTTCATTGAATCAACAAAATAATTCATTAATTCAACCCAATATTTCATTGAATCAACCAAATAATTCATTGAATCAATCAAATAATTCATTGAATCAATCAAATATTCCTTTGAATCAACCAAATATTTCACTGAATCAACTAAATATTTGATTAAATCAATATATATATCTTGTTATTTTGAATCGAACAAAATGATTGTTTTAGCCAATTCAATATCTCTTCATGAACAATTCATGGATGTGCTTGATTAAATAAGATCCAGAGTTTATGCAAGACATATATTTACTTAATTCAAACTTCAAATTCGCCCTGAAACAAGATATAGATTTACTCATTCCAAGATTATATTTTGTCGTGCATAATGACACTTTTTTTACTTCATTCAATTAAATGCTTAATTCAACAATTCCTTTTTTTCCTTGAATGTGTTCAAGTGGTTTTCATAAGCAGTTGCGTATATTAAGCCAATTTTTTGTGGGTATGGTGGTAGGTACCAGACATTTATTGTTATATCAGTATATCAAAATACAGTTGAGTTTTGGTGGCGTTGAATTCAACCAGATTGTTGGTTCTCTACCTTTCCATCAACCTATCATTCCTGGATATAGGCGCCAATAATTTTGAAACATCCTGTATACAGGTACACTGTGTATAGTTATATCTTATTCGAATATACACAAACGATACCCATATAACATATAACCTTTACAAGTGATATATTGAGCTGAGGTCATTTTTACTAACAATAAGAGCAAATAAAACATTGTTTGAAAATAGCGAAGTTACCATACCATTTGTGTAGGTGATACCGACTTACATAGGTACAAAGTTGTGTATAGGTTTTGTTCTCCATATAATGTTAATGGTTCGTAGTTCGAAGCTTTGTTATTCGGGTGTTCGAACACGATTTTAGCATAATATTACTCAAATAACCATTCTCCTTCTGATGTATGACCCTTGAAATAGGTAAAGTTAAAGGTGGCAAGACAAAAATAATATTTACAATATACTCAATGCCATTACCAATATTTCACGTATTATTTGGTAGTAGGTACCAAAAACAGAAACCAGGAACTGTCTTATTTTAGGAATTGGCGAATGTAAAAAAATGTCAACATATATGACTTCTGATTCAATTTCGAAGAGAGAATGAGAAACTTATTGGAAAAAATCTACTATGGATGTCAGTGAACAAGAAATTTTGTTTTTATCTTTGGGTGCTCACGAAAGGAAACCCCTGTTGTGTTCGAAGAAAATCATGCGTATACTTAGGTAGGGAGAGAAGGTAGGTATTGAAATTTTTTTGAACTCTTCAAGTTTATACAGGGTAACTCTAGAGTAAGCGGCATCCTCTCAGGATTAATAGGGGCCCGAAAATGCTTCCAAAGGGAGCTACGCTCCTTTGAATAGGACACCTCAAAGACGATTATTGCTCTATAACTTTAAAATCCTTCACAATAAATATTCGAAAATTGGTGTACGGCATGAACATTTGAAAGTATCAAGACTTTGAATTCAAAATTGCAAAATTCCATTCAAAGTCGTCATTTGCGGGGGAGGGTAAGTGTATAAACATCCCTTCTTCTGATACTCTGGTCATTGTGATTTCGTTTTAAAATTATTAAATTCTAGAGTTTTTCGA